ACTGTAATTTATCATTGCATACACATGAAGTGTTTGTTTTGTTTCAGGCTCACCACCTTCACAGCCACTCAAGCCACTTATTGCAACCTGTGATAAAGAAAGTTTTGATCCAGATTCTATTCATCGCCCGACCCCACAAAAATGTGTCAGCAAATGCAAAAATGTAGGGAAGAAAGTTTCTAGAAGGAAGAACCCTTTCAGCGTATACATTGATGTCAATGGTTTGTGTTACACCCTTCATTCTAAAACTTGACTTATGAAAAAAAATGGTGTAAAAGTTGGATGATAGTACATGTACATGCTTAAATGGTGTATGTACATGTACATTAACTCTGGAACTCCCAGAAGTGATAAGCATGTAACTTCTCCCCTTTATTATCTATACATTATCCAGCAAATAGGTAATGAGAATATTGAAACTTTTTAGATGGGGGTTATTACTGTACCTTGATCTAACTCTAAATTCTCTTAACAAATTTACAAGAAAATGTGTAGCAGCTAGAGGGGAGAAAGTAATTTCCTAAACACTGTCAAGCTGACAGATGGCAGGAATAAAGAAACACAGCAAGGGTATTGAAGGCTCAATAAGTAGCAAAAAGATTGTTAAGGGTCCTGCACAGCTCCTTGCAATAATTCTTTAAGATCCTGTGTAGATCCTCAGTGCCTGAGGAAAAGATAAGTCAGGCCATCAAAATTAATGAAAACCACATAATTTGGCATCCTAACCAGATAATTCTCTAATCTCTGATGCATATAAAACACCTTGCCAAATGTTTTTGGCCCCAACATGTAGTTTATTACTCAGTTGGTCATAGCAACTAATTAGTATCTGGGAGGCGCATGTTAAAATCCAGTCAGAGCCCCAATTTTGTTCTGTCTTCTTTTTTTGGCAATTTCTTTATTGACAGGACACCTGGGAAGTATCATACATTTGTACCTGTATCTCCACTTATTTACTATTGATTGGTTGTGATTAGATTCCATTAAGGGAATGAAAAGCCTACTTAGATTTGCTCCACTCCCAACATGTGGTTTCATACATGGACATGTACTGTAGCTCAGTTGGTACACCAGTGTCAGGGAGACACGAGTTCAAATCCTGCTGTTGAAGCCAGAATTTTTTCCGACTTCTTACATGCAATTTCTTTTATTGCAGCTTATCTGTGTCTGTATCTGATCATGTGACTACCAGTACCTGTTCATTAGTTCTATTTTCAATTGTAGATGATGCCAACCATTTTCTGCAGAATAAAGAGCCTGAAGTTGTATCAAATGTCAACATAAGGTGAGATTAAACATGAAATTTTACTGGTTTAAACTGGTGAAAAGACATTTTAGTAAAAGCTATGAACACAAGTTTGTAACAGTTTTGTTTTTTTTGTCTGGTTATTATTAACAGCACTTGATTTTATTTTAATTTTAAAAAAAGACAGGAAAGCATGGAAAGAAACGAGACTTATGAGATGCGACTATAGTTCATGCGCAACAAGCAATTTCATCCTCCTGTTTGTCCTTTTTTTTTTTGTCTTTATTTGCTTGTCTGTTTGAATGTTGTTATGTTTTGAACACAATAAGGTCAACTCTAGGACCAGTATCCACACAAAAAACAACAAACAGTGCAAAGTCAAAGAAGTCTTTCAACACAAGACAGACAAGAAGTTCCAGAAGAGCAATGCCAAAAAATCACCTTGAAGAAAGCAGAGATGGAACCACTGTCAATGAAGAGCTACTTCATATGATAGATACCTTACCATTCCAACCATTTTCTAAAGGAGGTGAGAAAGTTCAATTCATTTCTTCAGGTTATTTGTTGAATTACTGATTGGTTCATGCAGTTATTTATTCATTCATTTATCATCCATTGTTATATTCACTCATGCTTTAAATAATTTATGTTTTAATTTGTGTGGATTAAGTTTTGTCGTCAATTTATTTTGCTATTGTTCTGTGTTTTTCATTTTTTTTTTTTCTTTCTCCTATTTCGGTAAGCCACGCAGGACTGTCAAAATGAGACGGCAACCGGCTACCGCCCGCTCTGAAAAACGTGCCTACTCAATTATTTTGGCTCCCAGAGCCCCTCCCTGCGGATGAACTTTTGACCTCTAGTGCTGTCTACTCTGTATTACAGTTCAGTCACTCAAAATCTTTTTGACAACTCTGGCCATAGCACTTTTTGTACATATATGTGTAGTATGTGCGATTTAAGGAGTGTATATATATCTTATTAACCAAGCACGAGGGTCGTACTGGGAGAATATCGGCCCGAGGTCTTGACAGTACGGACCGAGCGCAGCGAGGTCCGTACAAAAAAGACCGAGGGCCGATATTCTTCCAGTACGGTCCCGAGCAAGCTTGGTTAATAAGAGATTTATTATACGACTGAAGTTCAAAGGGACACAAGTGCGGTATCATTCGGGACCATTCGGGACAGTGCCCGGTCCAATACTTAGAGAATATTGGACCGGCAATAGAGCCTTTTGATTGGTTGATTTTAGTTATTGACCCTCTGACTGCCCGAGTCGTGTAATCAATACATGTACACGTTTAATGTACTGACAGTGTGTTTTAAAATTCTAAGACTCAACTTCTCAGGCGATGGATGAAACTTCGATGGCAGATGAAACTCAACAGGATCATATACTTCCAGCTAACCATGGGTCATCTCAGTTAGCTGAATCTGAGTGCCTCGTAGATCGCCAAATCACAGACTGTAAACGGAGAAGTCAGATTACTTTTGGACAGCCTACGCGTGTTGCATGTTCAACAACTATTGCCGAGGCCGACTCGTCTATGAAGCCGAGTCCTTGTGACAACTCATTTTTCATCGAAAACGGCGTTTCTTTTTCGCCAACTTTGACGTCTGTACCCACAAATGGTGACTACAAAGGGGATGAAGGTGAAGTGTCCAGCACCAAATTTGAGTGTTGTTCACCTTGTAGTTTGGATACCAAGCAAAGTGTTTCCATTTTACCATCGCAGGACTGTCATGAACAGCAATGTAATACATCCGTAGACGAGATCCAAGGTACAAATCAACGAGAAAGTTCTCCTAAAAGGGAAGAATCCTTATTTGATGGTGTTACCGAAAGCGAGGTTGTCAAAACCGAAAATTCTGCAAGAAGGGCACAAGAGGGACCGTTGTTGACCTGTAAAGGTAGAAAAAACAACGATAATCTTTCGCCTCAGTCGTCAAAGAGAGGGTTATCTTCCGAAAGGTTACCAAGTTGTTCCAAGAATCGCGTTCAAGAAAGTTTGGACTTCGAAGGCTTAGTTTCTTTGTTTGATGATCCTCTTACAAGTGAAGATGGGGAGAAACTGCCAAAAGCAGATGACAACTCAAAAAAGCATCCAGATGCCCGTCAACACGAAGAGGAGACGTTTCCACTCACTGAGAAAAGTTCTGCTCATTGTGAAGAATCGCAGAATCAAGCAACTGAATCTGATTTGTGCGAACGAGTTAAGATGAGGCGGAGGCGTCGAACATCGGAGTTTTCGTTGCCATCAAGCAAACGTTCTGAGGCTTCAAAGAAATCTCTGCAATTGAAAACTAAGACGAAAAAGAGATACGTAGAATCTGCAGCTACTCTAACCAGCGACGGTGACAGATTTTCTGGAAACACTCGTAAGAAGTTGAAACAAGTTGAGGATCCTTTGGTTAATAAGAAGTCTCCTATCGAAGAAGGAGAAGCGAAAGAATTACGGGAGGATAGAGAAAAAAAGGAAGAAATGCATACTAATAGAATGATTTTGCAGTCTGTGAAACACGATGAACAAGCACAAGATGGTTCTAAATGCGGAAGTGATAGTGGCAAGACCGTACTTTCAAGCGAGATAATTCAAGCCAGTGTTTCTTCCTCAGATATATCTCCTACGACAGTTATTAATCCGATGATTGCTCATGTTGATCAAGGTGAAGAGAACTCTCGGAGAGGAATGGAAACACAAGGATCAATCTCGCAAAGAAATATGGAAAACAACCAGAGAGAAGTCACCGCACTCAACAGCGTGATAGTGAGTACTCTGACTGAGAATGCAGAGAGCACGGAGAGTCCTGAAATAAAACTGATTTCGGATAGAAATAAAGAAAATCTAACAAATCTCGAAACGCAAGACCAGGAAAACGATTACCAGCATAGAGAAACAAGAAACGAAAAGAGAAAATTTCATGAGGAAGATGCAAACTGGAGTGGGTCTAAACCAGAAGTATTGGAGATTCGTCACCATCAGTACCAGACCTTTTACCCAAATGAGATGACACCGACGGCAAGTGGTAACCAAGGTTTACCACTCCAAAAAGGGGCGGAAGAACACGAGCCTGATCTGGTTAAAACTAGTGATTCCCCTAACTCTTTACTAGAGGCAGAATGTGAACATGAAGACCATTTGAGGTGTTCTTTCACCTGGAATTCTCACGGAGACACTGTGACAGAAATGAAAGAGATAGTGGAAGGTTGTAATGGTCAATTGTTGAACGAGACCGAACATTTAACACCCCAGAAATCAAGTCAGAAAGGGCAAATCGCAGATGACACTCCAACAGAAAGTTCCTTGGAATTTTTGGATGCGATGACACCATGTTTGTTTGTAAACGATGGCCTAAAAATGGGAGACCAAAGCAGCCCTTCTAATGCAGCAGATTTTAGAACTTCTACCTTTAGTATGGGCAAAACTGAAGAAGAGAACAGCTTGGATGTGCAAAACGATGGCTGCCATGGAGAAAATTCTCGAGATGGTATCAAAGTCGAACATGGGAATGATGATCGAGAGAAAGACGTTGACTTGGCTCGTTGCTCTGAAGGTGTTGGAGAGATATTGTCCAATACAGACGGAACTCAGAGTTTTGAGACCAGTCAAAGTATATCTGTTCTCCATGGTTTGGAATTTCCACCACATGATCAATCCCAAGATAGCACTAACTGCAGTGAAACCATACCAGACCTTGGCAGATCTTCAAAGCATTTCCAAAAGCAGTCTGAAGAGGATGCTTCTTGGGCGGAACCGTTTCCAAAGAAAACCAGAAAAATTGAGGTGATTTCGACATCGCAGGATGATACATGCCCAGATCTTTCACGTAAGCTAGGGAGTGGTACGAGAATTAAGAAGAATCGTGACTCGGAGTGCGTGGAAAGTGAAGTTATACCACCTACTCCACCGGTTAAACCCGTCCCAAAACATGCTCTTGGCAACCAAAATCAGTCTCCTTCGAAGCTGTCACATCCCAATGCAAATCTGCAGAAGAATGACGCTGTGAGGTCTCGACTGGAACATCCAGTTGTGAAACGAAGTAGGCGTAGTAAGAGCCCTCGTGTTTCACAATCTGCAACCTCCAGTTCTACACGTTCTTCTGCTAACAGTGAGCAGAGTGAAAGCTGTACGTCTTTACTGAAGAACCTTGAGACCATCGTGCCTGACCTTAGTAAGGAGTTTGAGTCTTCACAAGGCAGGAAGCCAGGAACTGCAGTCACTGAATGGAACGCCACACCAAGTCAATCACCCGAGGAATTCGAAATGAATAAGAATTTGAGTGATAAAACATCAAGTGATCGTTGCTTTTCCCAGGACAAAACTTTCAGCCAGAGTTCTCACAATAAAATTCGATCCGATGTTTTAAATTCTAAAGAAAGAACTTGCAAGAACTTGGGTGATATGCCTTGCCCTGATGCAGCAAAATCAAATTCGTCGCCACAAACATCCACTTTAGATAAAAAACATGTCCACGGTGACGTGGAGGATTCTTTTTCCTGGACAGGTACTAAAGACAAAAGAAATTCTCAAATTTCTCCTTTCCCTTCGTATGATGATATTGCGGATAAGAATATTGAAGATGTTGGTGATGTTTTCAAAAACAAATTAGGAGAGGCAAATGTGCGCGTCAGTGGTGAACAAGACTGTTTTCATGGCGATTACGATGAAAGGGATATCTCTCATAGAGTTGATAGAAGGCGCAAAAGTCCTTATAGCATTATGGATGAAGGGAATGCCCTTGTTAGTGATAATGAAGGAGATTCTTCAAGTGATGAAGTCTTGCTGAAGCCCGTGTTTCTCCCCAAGCCATCTGAATCTGACCCAAATGACAAATCCGGCGAAGAAGACGAAGATGATGAAGAGGAATTGCAATCATTTTCACAGGAACTGATTCCATCTGATGAGGACAGAGAGGACGAGGACGACGACGGAATATGTGAGTGCTCTTTCTTTTGATTTTCAGCTGATTTACTATTTCTTTATCTGAACTAGAGCATGTTATTTTGAATTCATAGCTTTTCAGGGGTGTGGTTATTTTAAAAATCAGTAAACGACGTCAAGGACGATTAGAAATCGTCCAGTCTTCATTATCACGCAGAGTTAAAGGTGATTAAAATGTAGTGCAGATCCCCTCTAAACGTCTGACACGAACTGTACTCGTGATCGTTACCAAGAACATGTGGTATGTAGGAGGTTTTAAAATTACATCTCAAAAGAACTGCACTGGAGCATCTTTCACATGAAAATCCATCTTCTCATATGTATGCACCACTGAATACGTAAACTGAAAGGAATCATGATCTATTATTTTACGCGAGTTCGGCGGATTGCAGTCTTCATGTTGTTTTTTCTCCTCTTATCTCTCAAATTCACTCATAATGGAATAAAACTGTCATGTACTTTTTTTTTTTCATTTCATTGTTTTTCATTATCCTTGGTCTTGGTGAATAAGTACAAGACAAACGATGATAGCAGTACTCAAACCTCTACTAATACGTGTATGTGCAATTTGTTGGTCAACAATAAAATAACTGTTAAGTTATGAATTCAAGGATTCAAATAATCTTATCCTCTAGATTCGTGCAAAGCTTTGGATAGTACTGGTGCTTCGTCGGCTACAGTTTTATCAGAAGCTGCCGCCTCTACTCAGGTAGATCTTTCATTCAACCACTATTTCCTCTTTATCGAATTATTGTGTGATACTGAACAGTGTTTAAAGGCTTACTTTGAATAACTTTGATCGTCATTCCATAGGGAGTCTCTGACATAACTGTCCGCGGACAATGGGGTTAGTCGGCTCTTCCGCGTGTAGTAAAAGCCCGATGTAATGTTACTACAGAGGCCAGGCTAAATTTCTATATATTTTTTTTAGCCTAAAACAAAATTTAAAGCGGGCTAAAGTATTAGTTGTGGAGGGGCTGTTTTTGCATCTACGACCATAGAAATTTACCCTCAGTCTCCTCGCAGATTAGAGTCGCATGTACTTCATTTGATAAAATAAAGATGGATTCCTTTCTTTAGAAAATGGAGGTACTTCGCCAGGATGTTGAAGCGATGGAACGAGAGATGGATGAGCTTAGAGCTTATCTCGCTAAAACAGACGAGCAACAAAAAGAAGAAAATATGGCGATGGATGATGACATGGATTGTATGGAAGAAGGTAGAGCGGTACATGTAAAGGAACTTGTTAAAGCTCATTGTGTATGAATGCATTTGTCTAGTCTTGAAATTTGTGTCGTGAATGCTGGGATGATGTTCATGTTAGTTGTAAAACATCACTGGAAAAAAAAAAAAAAGCCTTAGTGCAGTGATCTCGATTTCCTTCTCCCTCTCCCCTCCCCCCTCTCCGTTTGCTTTGTAACAATTGTAAACCGAAAACAAGAGAGGTGTAGTCGCAAAAATTACTGACACAACAAAACGTTTAATAAGATTTATGTATTATCCAACAAATTGTTGGTTAGCTGTAATTACGACTTGAACACTCCCTTCTGAAATAGCTGTTTACACTTTCAGATTAATTGTATAATTTCAGATCCTCGTGATTGTGCCACCATAGCGTCTTCACTCACTCCACCCCCACCGCTGACGCCAAAGAGCATCCCTCCCATGCGACAACTGTCCTCTCCTCTGAAAAAAGCTTCGCGCTATCTAAATCAGGAGGGGCAGTCGTCAGATGAAGATGGAGATGAAGACATTGATGGTGAGGACATAACTACGAGCAATAGAAGGGAAAACTGCACACTGATAAGTACGCCTTGTAACGGAAAAGACAGTCTTAAAAAGAAAGAAGATGCTGTCAAATCGTGCTCGCGGAAGCGTCCTCTGTCACCGAGTTACGAAGATGATGGATTAAGCATCACGGAGGTTGAAAACCGATATGACAAGACGCCTTCGCCACCGCGCAGTTCTCGCACAAGTCAAAAATCTCAGGAAAGAGATGAGGATTTAATTGTTATTGATGATAGGGACACTGTGAATTCCAAGAAGGGTTCACTTTTGCTTGTTAAGAGAAGAAAAGTTGTGGATGAACTTGTTCCAAGAAAATCGCCAGTTGTTAGCTTGCTGTTTACGAGAACAGTGAAAGATGTCAATACGGCCAGTCAATCTCCAATATCACATGGGTTGGCAAAAGGACTATCGCCTAGTAATAAGAGATCTCCTTTCATTTATTCACGCAAGCGCGCTGCTGAAGCCCCCACAATCTGTGTACGGAGCTCTAAGGTGCTAGTGTCGCCTGAAACCGCGTCTCGCGACGATAGGCCGCGTGACCGAGCAAGGGGTGGGACATGTGATGCTCGATCTCAAGAGACTGCATCAGGAGATTCTGTGTCAGCTGGAGGCCTGTTGACTGAGGGTGTGACCCGTGCTCAAGGTCAGGTATCCGATAAGACATTCATAGAACTGAGCACTGCCTCTAACACACCAGAGAGTCCGAGAAACCGGAAGAAGGACAACTCAGGAAGTGAGATGACTAAACCTCCATCTTTTGTGGCTACTCGTCTAAATAGGAAACAGCTGGTTAGTATCGCTTGTTCTAGAGCTTGAGATTTCTATTCTATCACCCCTATATTGTCACTCACTGAGAGCAAAAAAAAAAAGATTCATAACAGGTGGACAACAGAAGTTCTTCAAGCCTAACAGTAGGCGCCCACGGACAAATTGTGAGAGTAGCGCTCAAGCTGATCATAGTATTTTCGCAATAACTAATCTATACAGTTGTTTCGGTATACATATAATTAATTTTTGTTACTATGATCCGTTACTCTCGTCCATTACATCGAAAATGATCTTACCTTCCTTTTGGTATCTTTTCCATTTATGACTGCCATTGGTGTACATGTAATCGGCTGCTGTGCCCGAAAAGAGGCCGTGAAGTGATCGGCTTCTATTGAAAGCCCTGATAATTGTTTAGGCTGCAACTGGAAGTTGAATGAGATCTGTCCCAGTCCAAAAAAAAAACAAAAAAGCAGGGGCACTTCATGATCGTTTGCAACATGCATGGAACTTATGAAATATATTGTATTATCCTTCTTTTTTAACACAAACATTGTATCCAGTCAGGCCGGTGATCGTGATTGCTTACAAGTGTTGATCTAATTACAGGCGGATGCTCGTGTTCTTGCCGAAACGTATGGCGGGAAGCTGGCTAGCGAGTTCAACAGCAAGACTACTCACGTGATCATGGCAACAGGTTGGTAAAAGTTGTCTGGTACGTTGTGTAAATGTACCACTGAGAATACCTCTTACCCGGATGTTCATTGTGTAAGCAATGGTATCCACGTAATCAGAAGAATGGTACATGTACACGAACCGCAATAATCCAGATTTCTCTACATACGGTATTGCGTGAAATTTTACGGGAGGGTTTCGTCCATTTTTTTTTCTTTTTTTTCGGTTCGACATCACTGAAATTTTATCAATTCATATTTCTTTATTTAAGTTTTGAAATTTTCTGTCTAATAAACAAAACGTTAACCGAGAACGAATCATATTACTAATATTTTTCCATTTTTCTTACTTGTCAAGTTATACTCAGGGAAGTTAGCGGGTACTTGACTTATAAATGTGTTTATATTGACTCTGAAAACGAAATATAGGAATTGAAATTTGATTCTCGTACGGAGTGTTTTATCGAATGAAAACAGTAAAATGTTTTGGTTTATCAGGAACGATGCTGTTTGAAGTATCAAGCATCATTATCATAAAACATGATCGGTCAAACTGTGTTCTTAGATGATAACGGCAATGAATTTTGCTCCTTCCAGATGAAAACATGCAGGTGACACGTCACAGTTATACCATGAAGTACCTACTGGGATTAGCTCTTGGCAAATGGATCGTCAGTCATCACTGTAAGTTAACAGTGTCAGTGTCGATATGTCTTTGCTACCCTCCGCTTCGCTATCCTACTCCTTTTCCTAGCTACAGTAATCATGCCTTTTGTGTTTTTAAGCATGCGTTCAGAATTAACCAAGTGTTAAGTGAATCTGGCTAGAAACCCATCTTTCAAGCACGAGTAGCCAATCAAAGCTCAGGGGTCGCTCCGTCATACCAGCTCGTATAGCTAAACTCATAATGAAGAGTGATTGAACGCATGTTTAGCGCGCGTCGTTTCCATGATATTTTCCTTTAATAGTGTGCAGAAAGAAACCCAAAGAGAAAGACAAGTTGGTCACATAGACGTGTTTCTTGAGCGCAGAAAAGTGTCTTTAGCTGTAACTAGATTTCAGTGTGGTTATGTAATATGGCTGCTCATAAAATTAGATTTGAGCATTTTGTACAATGTTTTAGCCATCTAAAAGTATTATTAGTATGTAAATAAGGCTCTAGTTTTTCATTTGAAATTTTACTCTAAATGTGTAAATAACTAGTATTTTTATCTTTAAACTTCTTTAGGTTAAGTAACTAAGTAGTGTCCCCAATTAGTTTTTACACTTATACAGCTGAATACATTGACACTTGATTAAAGTTTTTTCTTTCTTTCTTTCTTTCTTTTCTGCTGCATTTTGCACGACAGCAATTGAATTGCGACACAAAAAGGTTTTTCTTCTTTTATCTTCCTTTTGAATAGTGTTCCGTTTACTTCCTTGTAGGGATCACTGCTTGTGTTGCAGCCAAAACTCTGGTAGCGGAGGTAAGTAGGTCTTCTATATTAGCATCTACCAAATATATAGATTTAGCCAAGCCTAAAAGCGGAGCTCCCAAGTACGTAATATTAATTCGTCTTTCCAGAATTCAACGGAAGACTGGGGCGGAACTTGACTCGCGAAGCACCCTGGGGCTGTTTTTGGAGACGCGAGCCAAAGTGATAAAGAAAAACATGGGGAAATCCTCGTGCTGTGTGCCTCGTTGCACAAATAATTGGGCG